TATGTTTATTGCAGCATTATTTGTCTAGCAATCTGAAATGAGTATCTTGTAGGCAACATATATAGGGTCTTATTTTATGACCCATGCAGCTACCCAATGTTTTCCAATTGGACCATGTAGTCCATTTACATTTAAAGTAATTTTTTGATAGATAATGTAGTTATTGCCATTTTATTATTCATATTTTTATCTTCTTAAAGAAGTCCTTTTAACACTTTTTGTAATACTGGTTTGGTGGTAATGAACTCCTATACCTTTCTTTTCTTTTCTTTTTTTTTTTTTTTTTTTTGGCTGGGAAGCTCTTTATTTGTATTTCAATTCTAAATGATAGCTTTGCTGGGTAACAGTAGTCTTAGTTGTAGGTCCTTGCTTTTCATCACTTGGAATATTTTGTGTCAGTGCCTTCTGGTGTGCAAAGTTTCTGTTCAGAAAGCAGTTGACAGCCTTATTAACTCCCTTGTAGGTAATTTGCTTTTTTTCTTGTTGGTTTTAAGATTCTCTTTTTGTTTTTAACCTTTTCCATTTTAATTATGTGCCTTGGTGTGGGCCTCTTTGGATTCATCTTCTTTGGGATTTTGTGCTTCCTGGACTTGCATGTCTATTTCCTTCAACAGCGTAAGGAAGTTTTTGTCATTATTTTTTCAAATAGGTTTTTAATTTCTTGCTTGCTCTCTCTTCTCCTTCTGGTACCCCCATAATGCAAATACTGGTATGTGTGAAGTTGTCCCAAAGACCTCTTAAACTAATTTCATTTTTTTTCTTTTCTTTTTGCTGTTATGGTTAGGTGTTTCCTGCTACCCAGTCTCCCAAATTGCTCATTCAGTCCTCTGCTTCATCTACTCTACTGCCAATCCCTTGTAATCTATACTTCTTATCAGTTACTATATTCTTCATTTCTGACTGGTTCTTTTTTATGTTTTCTATCTGTACTTTTCTTTTCTACTCTGAACATGCCCAAACTCGTCTACCTGTACTTTTATGTTTCTTATCTCTTTGTTGAAGTTCTTCCCTGAGACCATTGATCATCTTATTACCAGTGTTTTGAACTATGCATGTAGTAGATTTCTTGTCTCCATTTTGTTTAGTTCTTTTTCTGGAGTTTTGTTCTGCTCTTTCACTTTTGACATGTTTCTTTGTCTCCTCATTTGGCTGCCTCCCTGTTTTGTTTTGTTTTGTTTTGTTTTTCTCCCTATGTATTAGGTAGAGCTGCTATGTCTCCCAGTCTTGTAGAGTGGCTTTATGTATTACGTAGTCCTGTGGGGCCTATTGGCACAGTGTTCTGGTCACAAGTATTACCGGTGTATCCCTTGTGTGGATTATGTGTGCCCTCCTTTTGTAGTTGAGCCTTGATTGCTACTGGTATATCAATGGGCGGGATTGACTCTGAGGATGATTGGTTATGAGGCGTGGTGATGACTTAGGGGAGCAGCTGTTGTGCAGGGGCTGACCCTCTGGAGCAGGATTCACTTCAGCAGGAGTCCAGTGCCTGCCGAGTCTGCCCTTTGGGTGGGTTGTTTGTGGAGCTGGTTGGTTCATGCTCTACTGTGGTTTGAAGCTGGCTACCAGGTGTGTTGGGGCTTCTTGAGAGAGGCTCTCGTGCAGGCCAACGTCGTTGCTGCCTGTGCCCTACCCAGGGCCACTTGATAGGAGCTACAAAAGTGATCTGCAGATGGTTGCCACTTGTGCTGGGCTTGGAGGTGCCTGGGAAGGCAAAGCTGCAAACTAGGATGGCTGCTTCAGTGCCGAGCTTGGGGCCCGTTAGCAAGTGATATGGGGGATGCCAAAGATAGATGCTGCGTGTTTGGGGTTGTGAACCTTTGAGAGATTTTAGGAAAATCTGCAGCATGAGCCAAGAAAGGCCATTTGTATGGAAAAACCACTGGAAATGCCTTGGGTGGGCCTGAAAGTTGGGTGGAAAATCGCCAGGCGCACCCTATTAGCTAGGTGGATGGAGACTCATATGGTGTCCCCTCACCCCCAGCAGCTTTGTGAAGAAAGTGTTTAACAAAGGAACATGGCCTCTGCCAGTACTTTTGTCTGGGAAGTTGCCCTTCCAGCCCTTTACTGAAGCCAGACAGTTCAGTTCCTCCCCTATGTGTCTGGTGCCTTTGGAGCTGCTGTCCCAGTACTGGAGCTCAGAGCAAGTGAGTCTGAGTAAAGTGTGGACCCTTTAAGAGGAACTGCCTGGGATTCTAGCAGCCCTCTGTCTCTCAGCCACAATCCCCGCTGGTTTTCAAGCTAGAAATTATGAAGACTTCTCTTTCCAGCATTAGAACCCTGAACTGGGGAGTTTAGTGTGGGGTTGGGATGTTGGCCCTTCAGGAGGGACCTCAGCAGCTGAGATATCCCTCCTGATTTTTAACTGCCAGCATGGGTGTGGACTAGCCCATTCCATGTATCTGCCCCTCCTACCACTCTCAATGTGGCTTCTTCTGTATATCCTTAGGTATAGGACTTCTGTCCAGCTAGCCATCAGGAGGTTCTCAGTGATCATTGTTCTATAATTTAGTTGTAATTTTGATGTGGCCATTGGCAGAGGTGAGTATAGTGTTTACCTATACCACTGTCTTGATCAGAAGCCTTTCCTGTACTTTTTTGTACAGATTGGCTCCTGATCTTTTTATTACTCTTCAATCCACACTTATTTACTATTAGTAGGTGCAAATATCTGATTTCACTAGATTTTCTGCTCTAGTTGTGCCTAAGCATTTACGTATTGAAATAGAGATTTTTTTTATCATAAATTGCATTTTTATCTTTTATCTATTACATTTAGGGCATTTTATTGATTTGGAGAGAGGAATTATATATACTAGTAAATTAGCTATGAAGTTTATTTGGGATACAAATGGAATATTGCAGAGTATTTACTATGAAAATGGAGAATGAAGAAGTTTTGTTCTAGAGAAGAAGCAGGGGAAGTGGCTGGAGAATTGGTACTTGACAACAGTTTGTGGAAAGACAGAGGGTGGTAGTGGATAGCCAGCAAGAGGCAGGTCTTTGATACCGGGTGAAGGGCCGGGAAATAGCATTAGAAGGAAGGCCCAATCCCCAACTGCAGCCTCTTTGTTATTGCTCATGATTTTCCCTCCTCCCAGAATGCCCACCGTATTCTTCTCTGTCCACCTATGTGTTCTTCATTGGGATGAAACCTATTCTTTTCAAAGTTTGCAAGAGGAAGTAGGCCAAAGCATGAACACTTCAATACCTGGATTCTATGCTGGCACTACACATAAGTTTTCATTTATCTCTTCCCAAAATGGAGCATAATTATGTTTACTTATTTTATTATTACCTTTAGAATTAGAATGAAGTCTGATCAAGGTCAAAGACTTTAACTTGTCTAGTGTCTTAGTCTGTTACAGCTTCTGTAACAAAATACCACAGATTTATTTCTCAGTTCTGGAGATCAGAGTGCTAATGTGGTAGGTGACCTTTTTCCAGGTCACAAATGTCTCAGTGTGTCATGATGGCTAAAGGAGCTGTGTGAGATCTCTTTTATAAAAGCACTAATCCCATTCATGAGGGCTCCACCCTCAGGAGCTAATCACCTCCTACAAGCCCATCCTTTTAGCACCATCACATTGGGATTAGGTTTGCAACGCGTGCGTTTGTGGGGTGATGCACATATTCAGATGTAACATTCAGTATCATCATCAGGTGGGGAAATAATGAAGGTCAAAAGCCAACTCAGGGCAGACTGGCTCTGCAGCTTGTATTCTACCCAGTGCATGACACTGTCATTCAATAGACCTTCAGGGCAGAGCTATGAGAATCTGGCCACTTGGGGTCTGTGCCCTTCTAACTTTTGATTTGACTCCAACTTGAAGCTGCTTTTTCTTTTTGGCCCCAGTCTCTTAATCATTTTGTGTTACTCTCTCATCCCAGTTTCTTTGAAAACAGAGTACACTTATCATCTTTGATTCTCCTCGGTTTATGCCTTGTTCCTTATAGATGTTTAGTATATATGCATCGATTTATTTAAGGGGAGGGTGATTCCCTCTAAAGAGAGAATGCACTAAGCCCCTTTGCTCAATGGCTTTTATTGAGAGGATTGCAGGTGGGGGATAGGCAGCAGGAATGTATAGGTAATCTAATTACTTCAGCAGTTTAAGTTTACAGAGAATAGATGTTGTTTCAAGATGACAGTGGCAGGAATGTAAGGAACTGCTTTAGGTCTGGGGTGAGCAAACATTATGGCGCCAGAAGGGACTTGGGTCAGGGTCCAGAAGTTTTGTAAATTTCTTTCCCACGCTTGCTGGTTATCTGGAATAAGATTAACAGAGTTTGAGGTAGAAACAAAGCTTGCTTCAAGGAGTGTAATTTACTTCTAAGTCTGATTTCCCTCAGGGGGGCCCCCGGAGCCGTTTTCAGGTCTTGCCTGCCTCCAGCATTACCGGTGTTCCAGCCAAGACTTAGAGGTCCTTTCCCAGGCCCCAGCTTGCGCGGGGCTGCAGTTCCTGATACCACTCAAAGCGCCCCGCTACAGACCAACTGAAAATACACATTGTAGGAGATCTTGACAAACATAAATGTGGTGAATGGTTTGCGAATTTAAAGTGCATCATTCGTTTTGCATCTAAAATAAAATTAAGATTCAAAGGTTTTATTTAATTAGATCTAAAAACGTTTAAAATTGAAATTATCACTATCCAGATGGTGGATAGTGATTTTAAAATTTCCGTTTTTTTTTAGGTGAACATATTTTTTAGGCTCTACTGGATACCATTACTGGGTAATGTACTCAGATACTCGAGTATGTTTATTTAAAACATAAATATTTCTAATGCTTTTAATGGAAAGGTGGGGATTAAAATTTTAAATTAAAAAGACAAAACAACTAGCTTTTTCTTACGTAGAACTTAACTAGAGATCATCTCTTTACTTGGGACGCATGTAAAGTTGGATGCATGTTCTATGTCCTATGGATTTGTGCCAATTATGGAAGTGTTTATATAGTATTTTGTTTACTAATGGATTTATATTATTCTGTTTTTCAGGTCCTGTAGGTGTAGGTTTGAATGAACTGAAACGAAAGCTGCTGCTGAGTGACACACAGCACTATGGTGTGACAGTGCCCCGTAAGTTCTGTCCTGATCAGTGCTAGTAGCGCTGCTGTACTGACTGCTCAATGCCTGCACAGTGTGTATGGTGCCAAGTGCTCTTCTACGCATTCCCCATCTAATTCTCACCACAGTCCTAGGAAGTGTGTATTTACATGATCCACATTTGACGTCGAAGGAAACTGAGGCACAAGATAACATTTGAGGGATTTGCCCCAGATTTACACAGATCATTGGCCTGAATATTTATTAATTACAGCTTTCTTACTCTCAATTTTTATGGTGAATTTTAATGTACATATGACATTAAATTATTATTTACAAATTTTCTTCTAAATAGAAGTCTGATGTTTCCTAAAATAAGCGCTAATGTTTTCCAGAGTTCTTCTCCAGCATAAAGATTAGAGGGACCAAACTGCACAGAGCTGAAGGAGGCTTCTTATAATATAAACCTTCATAATTACTTTTTATATGTAGTAATTGGCAGATAGTGTTAAATAGACCTTTCATAGTCATATAATCCAAATATGGTAGACTTCTTTTCAGTACATAGAATTAAATCTATTTTTATGAAAGTGGTTTTCACAGACATTCTTACAAATAAAATGTGATTCTGGAAGCATTTTGATCTTCAGAATAAATGCCATTTGACTACTTAATATGTTGATGTTAGAAAGTCATCTAAAAGACTAAATTGAAATGTTGGCTTTTTTCAAGTGGTTTTAGTACTATTTTTTTAAGTCATTTGTATATAGCCCTTAGCAATGTTCTCTAGTTCTGGAAGAGTTCAACTTTATTTTAAAATTATAGTATTCTGTTACCTCGTTATTCCTTGTTACTACATTTTTCCAAATTATTGTTTGTAATCATTTTCAGCCATAAGTTATAGGACTGACAGTTTCCATCAACAGAGATGAAAGTTAAGGAAAATGTGGAAATGTGGAATTAAACAGTTTCTTTCTTTCTTTTAACTTTAATTATTCACTTCTCTTACAAAAACTGAGTTTCAATATACTGGTAATTAGAAAATTTTACAAAACATACCCTTAGTTAAGCTTACAGGTGAGCAATGACAAAAGAGGATGGAAAACCAGATTACAAAGGAAAATAGTAACTTTATTAATTTTTACTGTGTATTCATCTCTTTTATTGGTCTTAATTTATTTTGTGCTCCCAAAGACAGTAAAGCTAGGTGATGTCTTCATTTTACAGAGGAAAAAAATGGGATAGAAAGGATACTTTGACTTACTCAGATTCCTGTAGGTGTTAGTTGCACCTGAATTTGAAACCAGGTTTTATGTAACCACTTTTCACGTTCTGCCTCCTATATATACATTATGCAATCCCTTCAAACTACAGATTCTCTTTTTTGTACCCCAGTTAGAGGGAAAAACTGCTCTCTTTTCAAGATTGGAAATATCAGTAATTCTGTCTATCAAACATAACCCTCTCTGATATTTTTGGTATTATTCAATGACCTAGGGCACAAGACACTTCGGCCACAATTTATCCAAATATTAAAATAATGTTTGCCTGTAAAGTTGTTACAGAACTCGACGACATCCAGAAAGGTTCTGGGGCTGGAACTCTACAAGAAAATCCCCAAATTATTGATTTTCCACTCTGATTCACTTTTAAACAGTTAATGTCAAAAGATCCCTAGTGAGTGGTGTTTTTCCTGATGATAAGAATCTCTTGGAGGTCCTGATAAAAACATCCCAAGGCCTTTCCAAAGAGATCCTTCTTCAGATCATAATATCAGACGTATTTGGGAAATACATCCCTACCACCAACTCAGGATAATTTAATTAATTGAATAACAAGATATTTGAAGAGCAATTTTGAAATTTTAGGTTGTTTTGCTTTATAAACTACTTTAGATAGAGTCTTGATTATTTGGAGAAAACTTACTGGTTTTGGGTATTCCACCAGTATTGTTTGATGGTTAACTCCATAATTCTTTCCAAAACAAGTATTACCGTATTTTGCCATGTATAATGAACACTTTTTTGTCCAAAATATTTAGGAAGAAATAACGATGTGCATTATACATGTGTATAATGATTACATATAATGGCTATAATAATCCCATGTTGAATGCACACAAAACCATGGATGTGTATTTTACATGGAAAAATGCAGTAAATACCCAGCAGAGTGGGTAAACTTGAGAAATTGTGGAGCAATGGAACTCACACACATTGTTGGTGGGAGTATAAATTAATTCAATCACTTTGGAAAGCTAAATGGCCTTATCTGTTTACTCTTATCTGTTAAGCTGAACACACACACACCTTGTGACCCAGTGATTCCATTCCGAGTATACACCCAACAGGAGTGCACATGACACATACTTGAATACTCTTACAAACACTATTGTTAAAAGCTCAAAACTGGAAACTACCCAAATGCCCACCAGTAGTGGATTGGTTAAGTAAATGATGGTATATTCCCACCATGGGATATTGTAATGCAGTGAGAATGAACAGTCTGCAACTACATGCAGTAATATGTGTGAATTCCACCAACATCATGCTGAGTGAAAGAAGACAGACACAAAGAGAATATGCAGAATGGCTCCATTTTTCTGTATAAAAACAAAAAAAAGCAATCCTCCTATGTGCTGTTAGAAACCTTGAGGAGGTTGGACAGGAAAGGTGATCCTGGAGTTCTGGCATCTGCGCTTCCTGTTAGAGTGCTGGTTACGTGGGCGTATTCGGTCTGTGAAAATTCATCAGGCTTACGTGTGAACTTTCCTATCTATCCTATTTCAGGTTTTTAAATGTTAAGTAGAAATACTTGGTAGTTTAGGCCATTGTAGTTTGCTGACGTTGTTTTCTGTCTTGACATACACCATGGTTATGGAAGATTAACACCTTCCTCCACTGGAGGTAGCAGAGTGATGGTTGGTTACGCGCGACCTTTCTGTGCCATTTTTGCAATTTCTTGTGTATCTATAATTATTTCAATTTCAAAAAAACTATTTGAAAGGTTGCTAAATCAAGTATTCCTCTTGTGCAAAATGGCTGAATAAAATTATATGATCTTTTAAAATTGTCCATAAAACCATATTAAACATTCACAGTTGCTTTTAAAAAAAGTGGTGGCCAAGCCGCTGCTTGCTTCTCTGTGGGAAATTTCATCCATGATAAGCTGCATCAGTATTGTTTGAAGGCTAGAGGTTATCATCAACAAATCTGCATAACCATTAACATAACTAGTTTTTCAGAAGAAAATGAAAATAAAGTAGTTAACAAAAAGCATTGCAGTAGATATCAAATACTTACGGATTTTAATGTCTTGATAATCTGGCTTGGGCATTCTCAGTGAACAACACTCATTAGTCACCTTCTGTAGTTTTACTGGAAGGCGTATATCACAGTGCAGTGTTTTCATAGGTTTCACAGTACTCACGTTCTAGAACACTTCTTTGTCCCCAGGATACCTCAGTTGAGATTTCTAAAAAAAATATATATAGATATAGATATAAATATAATATATAGTCAACTAGGGTACCAGTTTACAAAATATTTTGTCTTAGCTTACTGTGACAATTATTCTGGGATTTTGTTGGGGGCAGGGTAAGAGTGTGGAGGTTGTCTCCTTTGTTTAATGTTTATCTTAAACTGTAAACACAGTGGGTACTCAGACAGTAAACTCTGGTGAGGTAGCGTGGCCTGCACTGTGGTTACTATTCCCATCTTGCTCTTTGAATTCCCTTCTCACAAGGATTTCCAGACCCCTTATGCAGGATCCCTCACTGTTGATGGATTTGTGAGATTTCTTTGATACCATTGCAGTTAGACACTAAAATTCTTCATCAGTGAAATTACATCAGACCTGGATAACTGGGTTGATCGTGATAAGCAAACAGTTTTGCTGTAGACATGTTATCTTGTAACTGTATTAGGCAGTGTCATAAGTGTTTTATTCACTTGATGTGGTTCTGAATATATTTAACCCTCCCAGTGGACCCGTGTGTCAGGGCCGTGATCATTAAACTGTGTGTTCGAAATTTTTCAAAGTGTGTTGCCATTAAAATTGAATAAAGGCAACTTTTTCTCAGTTCATGAGAAACAAGGCAGGCTTAAAATTCTCAGTTTTTATTTTCAACTGCATTTTTCTCAAGCCTGCTACTTGCTAAATGAACACCAGCAGACAACAAAAAAGTTAATTAATAAATGAATGTTCACCCTAAACTCCAAATCAGGGCATCGTGCTAATTTAAATATCTTTCTTATTCTTGGATGTACATTATGTTGTACACAGGAAATAGAGTCTTTTTCAGCTGTGAAATTCATTTGTAGCTTTTATGATAGAGTTAAAGTTATTTGTACTTCATGCTGTTCCTGCAAAGGTTGTGACATCCGTAAAGAATAGCACGACCTTGGTGCTCCACTAGTAGAAGTATAAAAAACTGTTTCGGGAGATGTAACTGTTGTATGGAAATATGCTTGCTAACTAAACAAGGACATTTAAAAGTTTTGGATATAATTTAAACTAATTGGGTTTCATAAATCAATTACTTTTTGTACTAGGTTACTTTTTTACCACTTCCAACATTTTTCCTTTTATACACTATTTAGATACAATTTTAAAAAAACCTGCACATACTGTACTTAGAATATACAGTTAGCTCTGGTCAGGTGGTTCAGTTGATCGGAGCATTGTCCCATACACCAAAAGGTTGCAAGGACAGTCCCCGGTTGAGGCACATATGAGAGGCAACTGATTGATGTTACTCTTTCACATTAATGTTTCTCTCTCTAAAAATCAATAAACACACCCTCATGTGAGGATTAAAATAAAGTACAATTAGATCAGTTTTAACATATATACACATGTGAAATCATCACCACAATTAACATAATGAACATTTCTACCTCCTCAAAAAATGTCCCTGTGCCCTCTGTAATCCATTCTTCCACCCCTGTTCCCAGGCAACCACTAATGTACATTCTATTACTATTAGTCTGTCACAGATTAGTTTGAATTATCCAGTATTATATGAGTAGAAT